AGAAGNGCGTGGGCTGGTCCATGAGGTCACGAAGAGTCGGAGACGACTGAACGAATGAACAACAACAACAATCAGCTATCTCAATGGAACCTATACAAACAAGTGGCCCAGGGGATAACAGGAGCCGAATGGTCCACCCTTCCTCTTTGTCACTGCTTGGACAATACATGACAATACATGGGGTTTCCAGTCAAGGGATAACCATGCCACCATCTTGGGAAGGCTATTTTCCCCTTTGTTATTCCCAGCCATTAGACATTTCTGTGGACACTATTTCCTGTTGGAATATATAAGGAAGTCTGGTGGTCGAGCCACTGGGCTTAATCAGGAACTGGAAACAAAAAGGGACAATAAAGGTTTTGGGAGACCCATCAGGGTCATTGTGCCCACATATCAGGGATATTTAATCCCGCCATCAGTCATCATTTCATCCATCGTTCTAGACCTGCCAGCCCCTCTGCAACCATTGGAAGAGGGAAATTTACAACAAAGGCAGGTGGCGCCCTTCCATTGGCTGGGAACAGTGGGAATTTTGAACCTGAAAAGTGTATAAAAGTGCATGTTCTATTGCAGTGGTTCTCACCCTGTGGGCCCCCAGATGTTTTGGCCTTCAACTCCCAGAATTCCTAACAGTTGCTAAAGTGGCTTGGATTTCTGGGAGTTGTAGGCCAAAACACCTGAGGACCCACCGGTTGAGAACCACTGTTCTATTGTGTTATGGATCTCAGCTATCTTTCAGCAGGCTACTGCAAGCTGGCATCACTTTCAGGTGAAATTAAATAAATACTTCTGCTTCAACTTGATGAGAGTTATTCTGGAATATTGGCTTCTCTTTCTCACCAGGGTAAACCCACAGTGTCCTGGATCTCACTATCCATTGCCGGTCTAAATTGCTCGATAACACCCACACAACCTCAGCTTAAAGATTTTCAAAGATAGAGAATTCACGCACACACACACACCTGAGGCAATTTCCCCTGCACTGTTCAGCACTTGAATAGAGTGCCTGAGAGGGCGAAAGGATTGGACAGGTCCATTTTAGGAGTGCTATACAGTGGGCCCTTAGTGTCTGGTGGGGTTTACATCCAGGACCCCATAGAATATCAAAATCTGCAAATGCTCATCCAAATTAAAAATCCATTTACTAGACCAAAATACATTACACAGAGGATCCCAATCCAACCTCAGTTTGAAAACCTCCAAAGATGGAAAATCCACCACCTGCCCAGGAGTTGCACTGTTCCACTCTGCTATTCAACTGTTGATCAGACTGCTTGGGAGGGTGGGGAGACTCTCCATTTTTGGAGGGCTTTAAGGCAGTGGTTCTCAACCTGTGGGTTCCCAGGTGTTCTGGCATACAATCCCCAGAAATCCCAGCCAGTTTACCAGTTGTTAGGATTTCTGGGAGTTGAAAGCCAAAACATCTGAGCACCCACATGTTGAGAACCACTGCTTTAAGGAGAGGTTAGTTGTTGTTCATTTGTTCAGTCGTCTCCGACTCTTCGTGACCTCATGGACCAGCCCACGCCAGAGCTTCCTGTCGGCCGTCACCACCCCCAGCTACTTCAAGGTCAGTCCGGTCACTTCAAGGATGCCATCCATCCATCTTGCCCTTGGTCGGCCCCTCTTCCTTTTACCTTCCACTTTCCCCAGCATAATTGTCTTCTCTAGGCTTTGCTGTCTCCTCATGATGTGGCCAAAGTACTTCAACTGTGTCTCTAGTATCCTTCCCTCCAATGAGCAGTCGGGCTTTATTTCCTGGAGGATGGACTGGTTGGATCTTCTCACAGTCCAAAGCACTCTCAGAACTTTCCTCCAACACCACAGTTCAAAAGCATCGATCTTCCTTCGCTCGGCCTTCCCTAAGGTCCAGCTCTGACATCCGTAGGTGACTACAGGGAACACCATGGCTTTGACTAGGCGGATCTTTGTTGCCAGTGTGATGTCTCTGCTCTTTACTATTTTATCAAGATTGGACATTGCTCTCCTCCCAAGAAGTAAGCGTCTTCTGATTTCCTGGCCACAGTTTGCTTCTGCAGTAATCTTTGCACCTAGAAATACAAAGTCTGTCACGGCCTCCGCATTTTCTCCCTCTATTTTCCAGGTGTCAATCATTCTTGTTGCCATCATCTTGGTTTTTTTGATGTTTAGCTGCAACACGGCTTTTGCGCTTTCTTCTTTCACCTTGATTAGAAGGCTCCTCAGCTCCTCCTTGCTTTCGGCCATCAGAGTGGTGTCATCTGCATATCTGAGGTTGTTAATGTTTCTTCCAGCAATTTTCACCCCAGCTTTGCATTCATCAAGCCCCGCACATCGCATGATGTGTTCTGCATACAAGTTAAAAAGGTTGGGTGAGAGGATGCAGCCTTGCCGTACGCCTTTCCCAATCTTGAACCAGTCTGTTGTTCCGTGGTCAGTTCTTACTGTTGCTACTTGGTCCTTGTACAGATTCCTCAGGAGAGAGACAAGGTGGCTTGGCATGCCCATCTCACCAAGAAGTTGTCACAATTTATTATGATCCACACAGTCAAAGGCTTTAGAATAGTCAATGAAGCAGAAGTAGATGTTTTTCTGAAACTCCCTGCCTTTCTCCATTATCCAGCGGATATTGGCAATCTGGTCTCTCGTTCCTCTGTCTTTTCTAACCCCAGCTTGACCATCTGGCAACTCTCGCTCCATGTATTGCTGGAGTCTTCCTTGCAGGATTTTGAGCATTACCTTACTGGCATGAGAAATAAGGGCCACTGTACGGAAGTTGGAGCAGTCTTTCGCATTTCCCTTTTTTGGTATGGGGATATAAGTTGATTTTTTCCAGTCTGATGGCCATTCTTGTGTTTTCCATATTTGCTGGCATATGGCATGCATCACCTTGACAGTATCATTATTTAAGATGTTAGGTTAGATACAGAGGTTAGATGGGCATATTTCAGGAGAGCTCTTGAGTGGGCCCTTGGTATCCTCTTCGCTTTGGTTCCAGGATCTCCATGGACATCAACATCTACGGATGCTCAAGTCCCATTTTATACAATAGCATAGTAAAATGTTGTCCCGTAGATATAATTGTAAGATAAAAGTTTGCTTTAAAAATACATATATATTCAAGCTGTGGATGGTTGAATCTGTGTATATGGAGATCTAGCTGTAATAGTGTAATTCCCACATGACGGGGTTGGACTAGATCAGGCATGGGCAAACTTGGGCCCTCCAGGTGTTTTGGACTTCAATTCCCACAATTCCTAACGGCACTTAAGCAGCTGAGTGGGGAAAGGAAGGGGCCTGAGGCTGTTAATACTTGTGGGAGTTGAAGTCCAAAACACCTGGAGGGCCCAAGTTTGTCCATGCCTGGCATAGGTGGCTCTTGTGAACCCTTCCAACTCTAAGAAACTACAATTCTAATTTAACCCAAATTTAACACAAATTTAATTTAACACGAATGTTCTTCAGGTATACATGGCCAGGGAAATGATGATGAGAAAGAATACGCTTGCCACTCCGATGTTGGCAGAAGAGGGATCTGCACCAAAAGAGAGAGAGAGAGAGAGAGAGAGTTTCCTTGACCTAGAGACAACATGCCATGCTCACTTCTGCAGGAGAATATATGACAGCCAAGTATGGCACACCAAAGAAGCAGCTGTGCCAAAAATGGCACGAGTTTTAGATGTTAGTTTTCCTTTTTGTGCCAAAATCAGTAAGGGCTAGAAATACAAGTAAAAAGAATCCACCAGAATGTTTCCATTTGCTAAAAGATTTCAAGCATACAGTTTTCCACAAATATTATGCTGTATAAAATTAGTTGTTACCTGGGAAGCACATGGTTTCCATTCATTTTACTTTTTTCGGGGGGGGGGGGGGGGGNCTAAACCATTATGTTGTAATATTATTAGTAATATTGCATGTAATATAAAATATATAATTATAGCAAAGGTAAAGGTTGTCCCCTGACATTAAGTCTAGTCGTGTCCGACTCTGGGGGTTGGTGCTCATCTCCATTTCTAAGCTGAAGAGCCGGCGTTGTCCGTAGACACCTCCAAGGTCATGTGGCCGGCATGACTGCACGGAGCACTGTTACCTCATATAATTATAATATTGTATTATTATTAGTTTTATATTGCATTATATTATAATATTATTTTAGCATTCTTTAGCGTTTCCTTTTTTTATTTTAAATATGTCTTTTAAAGAAAGACATATTTAAAATCAAACTGTGCTACTCTCATTTCTGATTACAAAAAAAAAAAAGTTTGATTGTGGGTTGTTGTAGGTTTTTCCGGGCTATATGGCCATGTTCTAGAGCAGGGGTCCTCAAACTAAGGCCCGGGGGCCGGATACGGCCCTCCAAGGTCATTTACCCGGCCCTCGCTCAGGGTCAACCTAAGTCTGAAATGACTTGAAAGCACACAACAATCCTATCTCATCAGCCAAAAGCAGGCCCGCACTTCCCACACACTAATAAGTTTATATTTGTTAAAATTGTTCTCCATTTTAATAATTGCGTTGCTTTTAAGTGGTTTTTTTGCACTACAAATAATTGCAGTGTGCATAGGAATTCATTCATTTTTTTTCTCCAAATTATTATCCGGCCCTCCAACAGTTTGAGGGACTGTGACCTGGCCCTCTGTTTAAAATGTTTGAGGACCCCTGTTCTAGAGGCATTCTCTCCTGACGTTTCGCCTGCATCTATGGCAAGCATCCTCAGAGGTAGTGAGGTCTGTTGGAAGTAGGAACTAGTTTGATTGTGTTGGCTTTGTGTTAATCATGGGCCTGGGCGAGAGGTCAGGCTCTTTGACCTGTGCAGAGAGGGGCCTCGCTCGCGCCACCCAAGGCCTGCCTCGCGCCCCGTCCTTCCTCCTCGTGCAGCGGGCGGGCGGGCGCGCGCGCACCCTGCGTCAGTCAGTCCGGGGCCAGGCGGCGCGTCCTTCGGGTTCGAAGCCTGAGGGGCGTCTTCCCAAGATGCACCGCGCCGGGCCGTCGCTGTCACCGCCAGCAGGAGGAGGCTGAGGCTGAGGAAAGAGGAGGAGGAGGAGGCGGCGGCGGCGGCTGCGCTTTCCTCACCGGCCTGCTCGGCTTGGCTTTGCTTTGCCTTGCTTGCCTACCGCTGCAGGAAGGAGCGCCGCCGCCATCATGGTGCCCGAGGCCGGAGCTGGAGCCGCGGCCTGGGGGCTCTGAGCCCCTCACTGCCTCCCTCAGAAGGAGGAGGAGAAGGGAGAAGGCGGGCTCCTGCGCCCCCATCGGGCCTGGACCTGAGGTAAAAGGGGCTCCTGGGTTGAGTGTGTCGGCGGCGGGGGGTGGGGGGAGTTGGGACTGGAAGGATGGGTTTCTACCTCCCTTCTGCCCTCTCCTCCTTCCTTCCTGGCTCTCCCTTTCTTCCCTCCCTGGGCCTTGAACTGCTAGCAGCACCGCCTAGGCCTCACTGCCCCCCTTTGTGGGAAAGAGCCACACAAAGAGAATATGGGGGCCCCGAGGCGCCTCCTCTCCTCCCTTCAGCTAATGTCGCCCCCTTTGAGGGCGGAAAAGAAATAATAAATTCAAAACAAATACGCGAGGCTGGCTGGCTGGCAAACAAAGGGACTTGTACCTGGAGAAAATGCGCATAGGCCTGCTCTGCTTGATTTGGGGGAAAGGGTCGATATTAGCCAGTCTGCAGGAAACCCCCCCCCCCTCTTCCTCTCTTTTTGACAGGGGAGGACATCCTTCCTGCAGAGACTGGCCTCCCAGGATCGGCCTCTTGAACTCCATGACCCTCGGGGTGGCACTCTGACCCAGAAGTGCTTGGCCCCCAGTTGTCCTTACCGATATTATTATTCATCCGGCATATTTATGTGTATCCTACTTTCCTCTCTGAAATGGGACTCTTAATAAGCTCACAATCCTTATAAGAAATACAGTAATAATGATAATAATAATAATTACTAATTATCAATATTCATACCCTGCTTTCCTCTCTGGAATGAGACTAAGCAATTCACAACCTTTAAAAGCAATACTATTATTATTATTACTATTAATATTTGTACCCTGCTTTCCTCTCTGAAATAAGACGATAATCAGATCACAATCTTTAAAAGAAATACTATTATTATTATTATTATTATTAATATTCGTACCCTTTTCCTTCTCTGAAATGAGACTAAGCAGTTCACAACCTTTAAAAGCAATACTGTTATTATAATCAATAATATTCATACTCTGCTTTCCTTTCTGAAATGAGACTAAGTGATTCACAACCTTTAAAAGCAATACTGTTACTATAATCAATAATATTCATACTCTGCTTTCCTTTCTAAAATGAGACACTAAGCAGCTCACAGCCTTTAAAAGCAATACTATTATTAATAATATTAATATTCGTAGCCCGCTTTTCTTTCTGAAATGAGACTCTAAGCAGCTCACAACCTTTAAAAGCAAAACTATCATTATTATTATTATCATTAATATTAATATTTGTACCCTGCTTTCCTCTTTGAAATGAGACTAAGCAGCTCACAGCCTTCAAAGGCAATACTATTAATAATAATATTCGTAACCTGCATTCCTTTCTAAAATGAGACTCTAAGCAGCTCACAACCTTTAAAAGCCTTATTATTATTAATATTATTATTTGTATCCTGCTTTCCTCTCTGAAATGAGACTTAAGCAGCTCACAACCTTTAAAGCAATACTCTTGTTACGTATTATTAATATTGTACCCTGCTTTCCTTTCTGAAATGAAACCCCAAGCAACTCACAACCTTTAAAAGCATTATTGTTGTTGTTGTTGTTGTTACCCTACTTTCCTTTCTAAAATGAGACTATAAGCAGCTCACAGTCCTTTAAAGGCAGTGCTATTATTACTATTATTAATATTTGTATCCTGCTCTCCTTTCTGAAACAAGACTCAAAGCAGCTCCACAACCACACAAAAGCTGCAATTCAATACCTAAAAGTATAAATATTAAACAAATCGTTGGAGCAGAAATGTTCCCCGCAATTTCTGTGGGCAGACATGAGGGACAAAGGTATCTGCAGAGGGATCTGCAAACCATGTTGGATCTATCCATAGATCACCTTTATTGTTCTGGGCCTTAGGTTTTGAGAAAAGGGTAGATAGCCTGCAGGACTTCCTCCTCTTTTCAAAATTATTGCTGTTTTTTTTAAAAAAAAAAAACACAACTTGAATGTGAAGACTTAAAGGAAAAAACAGAGAGATCTGGCTTCTTTTTCCTGTTTATCAAGGAACTCCAGTCAGAAACTGGATTTAGAACTACAGATCTAGGTACACATACATGAAAGAAAAACCTTCACGTTGCAAAAAATCAGAAAAACATTATCTTCCAGATCCTCCACAGTTTAAGAGTCATTCTTCTGTACCTCTAAAATAGGCCAAATACATTCCTTCTCAGGATAGAAATACAGACCAATGAAATATCTCCTTTTTACTTCATGTTTAGATTGTATTTTTAAATTTATAAATAATACTCGATTAAAATGAGTGCCTTGCCAGAAAGAGAGCATGCCTATGTAGATCACAGTGGAGTGTGTATTGTTCAAGCTCAATATGAATTGAAGGAGAGAAGCTGGGCTGTCCTAGATAGAAGTGCCTCAGTACACTGTTATTCAGAGTTATGGTCAATTGACAAGTGCCTATCTCAGAGACATTGGTAGCCAGTTTCATGCAAGTTTCCAGGGAAAAAGAAAGTTGTCGCCAATGGGCAGAGATATGGTAAATACCAGGAAGAAAATTGCTGCTAGCTCCCATCTGATAACTTGAGATGAATTGACCAAATGAACCCTTAGGATGGTTACCTATTTCTAGGTTTAGAAATGGTTGACATAGTGTGCACTTACAGTCATCTAACAATTAGGGCCTCTTGTAGCATATTTGGAATTAGTCAAAAGTTTTACATGCGGATTTGTTATACATAGATTTGATGAAAAGAATTCTCTTTAGGAATCCATAGGTCCTCCAGTGTGATTCCTGTGTTCGACTTCCTCCAGTCATGCTGGAGGACCTAGAGATTTCTAGAGAAGACACTTCTCTTGGAATCTCTAGGTCCTCCAACGTGATTCTTTGGTCAGCTTCCATCTACATTTGATTATAGTGTTGTGCTGGAAGATCTAGAAATTCCTAGAGAGGTGTTCTCACAAGTAAAAAAAAAAACAACAACCTTGTCTTTATTCATGTTTATTCATTTTGTTCCTTAATATATGTTTTCCTGTAAGAAAAAAAAAGTGCAAAAGAAGTAGTAGGAGAATATAGGAGGAATATAAATTGGTAGTAATGATGTCTGGATCCTTCATAAAATTTTATGAATGAGGGAATTGTAGAATAAATACTGATCTGGAAGCATCCTAAATGTGTGTGGATTATAGAATCAGAATTATAGAATAGGGTTGTAGGTTTTTTTGGGCTGTATGGTCATGTTCTAGAAGTATTCTCTCCTGACGTTTCGCTTACATCTATGGCAGGCATCCTCAGAGGTTGTGAGATCTATTGAAAATTAGGAAAATTGGGTTTATATATCTGTGGAATGTCCAGGGTGGGAGAAATAACTATTTTCTGTTGGAGGTAGATGTGAATGTTTCAACGGGCCACCTTGATTAGATAGCCTGACAGTTTTTAGGTGCAGCTTGTTACTGCCTGGGGGAATCCTTTGTTGAGAGGTGATTAGCTATCCATGATTGTTTCTTGTCTGGAGTTCCCCAGTGTTTGAGTTTTATTCTTATTATTTACTGTTATAATTTTAGAGCTTTTCAATACTGGTAGCCAGATTTTGTTCATTTTCATGGTTTCTTCATTTCTGTTGAAATTGTCCACATGCTTGTGGATTTCAATGGCTTCTCTGTGTAGTCTGACATGGTAGTTGTTAGAGTGGTCCAGCATTTTTGTGTTCTCAAATAATAGGCTATGTCCAGGTTGGTTCATCAGGTGCTCTGCTATGGCAATAAATGATAGAATAATAGAATTGGAAGAGACCACATGGGCTGTCTAGTCCAACCCCCTACCATGCAGGAAAAGCACACTCAAAGCATCCCTGATAGATAACCATCCAGCCTCTGTTTAAAAGTTTGTAAGACACAAGAGCGATCTTAAAAAGCTTTAAGCAAACTAGCTGTGATGTTTGTAAGAAGTTCCAGCTTTAGAATTGGAATTTCCTGAAATGTGTTTTCTTTCAAGGTTTAGTAACACTTGTATCTGAAATACGTGAATGCAGAAGGTAATGTTCTTGTGCTCTGCTCTATTTAGATTATTGGTATCCATTCTAAAGTGGGATACAAGTTGAGATTTGTGTTGGTTGGCATTCTACCATGCTTTGCAGAAATCTTCAAGAAAGAAAACAAATTAAAGGCCTTTCAGATTGCTATTTCTATTGGTTATATATGTTATACATACTTTTTAAAGGAGCATTATAGTTTAAGGAGGCTTTCCTTCTATTTTTGATTATAGTTTTAATTATTTGTTGCTTTTGGTAACAGTATTGATTTGGTAAACTTGCTTTTTTTTCAGGACAGTGTGTCAAGAACATTAATTTTCTTGTAAATGAACTCTGGCTGTGATTCTCCATCAGTAATCCACAAACAGACCTCTTCAACCTCAGTGGGACTTAGCTTTGTGTGGGTTATTTTTAACTTAGTTTGCTTGTAATTTAACAAAACACATTCTAGTTATTTCATGTATCTTATTATGAAAGGGGGAGAAGTGAGTGAGTAGGCATAAAAGAAATAGATTAGATAATAGGATGTCCTTTCACAAATGGAAGGGTTTGTTCTGTATACGCAGGGAATGCTTGGATCCAGCACAGTTTCCCCCCTGCTGAAGAATAAAGTGATTTTGGCTAATAATATTTGGGCCTCCAATTCCAAGGTTATCTCTTGGGTTATTCCAATTCCTCCAAAGCAGATTTGAGAGTGGACATATAGCAACGCAGGCAGAATAAACTTCCCTTTGTTCAGCCATTGGGAATATACCACAGGTTAGTTCTGTTCATGAGTACTGGCAGTCCCCAAGTTACAAATAAGATAGTTTTGGTAGGTGTGTTTTTAAGTTGAATTTGTTTGTAAGTCAGAACAGGTGTGTGTATTGTGTGTGTATATATATAGAAGCTTTGGATAACACACAAAAGGGTTAACACCCCTGTGGTGTTTGTTTTGCTGTCTGTTCCACTGTTCAGTCCCTATGAACCTCTATACAGGGGCTTGCTGTCTGTGCTCCTTACTTTCCGTCCCTGTGATAATTGAATTTTGAAAAAAATGACTTGTTGTGGAAAC